TAATATCTTTTCAGATTTCGTCTATGAGGAGGAGTTACAAGTAGATGAACCAGTGCATGGGGAAGCTCCCCTAGAGGGGAACGGGGGTCCTGAACTGGATGCCTAGAGTTATATTTCTTTTGTACTAGACTAGAGAGTTTATTTTGAAATCATGTAAAGTCTAGTATTTTGTTATTTCACTGCAAGTGTAATTTAATTCTTTTGGGAATATATTTGTCATACTTGGCCTATTCTTTTGGGATGGCATTGTGGATATGACATATGATGAATGAAAGTTTATTTTATGATGGATAAATAGACCCGGTGTGGTCAATAGTTATGCATATGTGGACCCGGTGTGGTCAATTGTAATATAATTGTACAGGTTGTGTTTTGGGTAAAGCTCCCCGTACAAAGGAGACTCTACCCAAATTTTGTTAAAATATGAATGGTTGATGAATGAACTTTCGTCGTGATGAATTTACGTAATGCTCTCATGGGGTGAATGGTTTTTAGAATGTAATGTCACCCAAGGGGGTTTTTGGGGTGTTACAAGAGTACTTGAGACACCATTTTCATTTTTTTATGGTTAATGTCTCTATTTTGCTCTATAGAGTTTCCAGTGTAGAGCTCCCAAATTGCAAGTGTGCTCAACGGTCGCACGATCCATTAGACTGTATAAATTGATGTTGATGTATATAATGGATTGAAAGAGATGACAATGTCATACCCATCATGTGCAAGTAGGAGATGTTAGATATTGGTTGGGTCATGGACCCGAACGGGGGCTCCCATGATGGGTTAACCTAAATTAAAAAAATATTTTGGAGGTATCCTTCACCCAAAATACATGTCTGTGTTAAATATTAACGTACATGTTCCTATAAGATGTGTCTCTTAATGACACCTATTGGTTGCCTATATAAACTCAAGGCAATCCAATAGATGACACCTCTAATAATTCATCTAACATTAAAACTCTCATACTCTTTTCTCTCTCTCCCTACATAACATTGAAAGACTTTTTGTGCTGTGGAAACGCGGTGTTGATTTCTACTGTGTAACAATACTATACTGCTCGAGCAATCGAAGAAAAGACGAAGAAAAGTACGTGGAACATTCTCAAATGATTTTTAGGATTAAAGCGAACAAGGTATATTTTTGATCCTACGCTTCTGCAATATATTATACAATCCCCAACAATTGCACAAAACAAAATCAAAACCTTCACAAACATCCATTGCCATTAACACAAAACTACAACCAAGAAAAATAAGCCATCAACAATAAATGACCCTCAACACAACTAAAGCAGCCATAAAAATCATTTTAGCAAAGAAACAATTGATTTAGATGAAATACTAAAGTGGATTGTAAATTTTCTGAAACTATATCCTATGCATTTTTATTAGTGGCGGGTGATTGTTTTATGATTTTGTTAATCTAATAATTTTCTCTTAAATTTAAAGATGAAAAGAGGCACCAATAGACAAAAATAATGAATTAAACAACCTTGCTTCAGAATCATGTTTTCTTGACAAAATGAAACAAAATTTTCTCATGCTTTTCCTAATCTCATAGTGGAGCATCATTCACCAACCTCAATTAAGACAAGACAGAGAGAAAAAACAGTACTTGTTGAAGCAGTGTGTCGCTGGTTCCGCAATGGCAAGACAGACGGGGATTTGTGCGTCTTATAGAGAAAGAGAGGTAGAAAAAATGTCTGAGTTCAATTACAAGTGTAACGCCCCAAAAATCACCCTGGATGACATTACCATTTAAAAACATTACTGTCATCAGAGCAACTAAATAAATCCATCATTAAAGAATATCCTTAATTTAACAAAATTTGGGTAGAGCTCCCCGTATTTAACAAAATTTGGGCAGAGTCTCCTTTGTACGGGGAGCTCTACCCAAAATACAACCTGTGCAATTATACTACATTGACCACACCGGGTCCATTTACCCATCAAATAATAAACTTTCATTCACCACATATAATATCCACAATATTATCCCAAAGAATAGGCCAAGCTATGACACTTACGTTGCAAAAGAATTATACTCAAACTTAACAGCGGAATAAACAAAATACTAGACTATACATGATCATAAATGAATTCCCTAGTCTAACACAAAAATAAACTATAACTCTAGATGTCCACCTTGAGATCTAGATTCCCCTCTAGTGGAACCTCCTAATTTCCCGGCTCGTCAACGTCGAGATCTTCCTCTAGCACGAAATCTAAAAAGAAAACATTATTGGTAGGGTGTGAGCATTAAACTCTGTAGGAAAATCCTCCTAAACTCTAACAAGATTTGAAAAACGTAAAAAAAATGGTCGGTCTCATTTCACAAATAGCATACGTAAATTTTGAAAGAAAACATGACATTTTCAAAGATCTCAAGTTTATACATTAACAATAATTAAGTTGAAGAGTAAGTCAATCCCACTATAAATAGTCATTCCAAAGAGTAATTATTAAATGCAAGAGTAAAGTCAATCCCACCATAAATAACTATTTCAAAGAGTAATTATTCACATAACAATTTTCAAGATAATTATATCTAAAAGATAATGCAATAAACAATAACCACAATATATCTCAAGTCTGACGTAAGATAATCGCATGAATAAACCCATCGAGAATATCCTGGCCCACACACACATAAATCCTCGCAAGGATATCAAACTTTGGGAAGGGCGTCTATCGATGCATTGTCCAATACCAATGCACCGACAATAACGAATCCGACCCAGGCATAGTATACTAATCCTCTGACACGGCACCCGTGAGCTAATAATGATTTGGTCCTCGCAAAGCACCAATCCCACTACGAGTAGTAGGAAAAGTTCAAATCTACACGGAGTAAGAACCACACACATCTACCCACTCTACGATACCCAGTCAACGGCCACCCATGGTCATTCAAACACCTCTATGAGATACAATCACCAACAATTTCTCAATAAAATTTTATAATTTTCAAAACCCCTAAATTTTATAGGTATTTCTCAAATCACATTAAATCTCAAAAATCCCTAATTTTCTTCCATATGATTCCAATAGGACAATTTAAGAAAAATATGCAAAAGATCATCAAACATATATTTTTATTGTTCAAACAAAACACTAGAGTTTTGAAATCAAGAATTAAGGAATATCAAAAAGAAAAATCTCTATTTCTTAAAAGAAACAAGAGTTTTTGAGATTTCAAGAATTTCATGGCTATCAAACCATAATTTCATTCCAAACATGATAATATTTGCAAGAGTATCAAGAAATAATGATTTCATAACATATATCTAAGATTTAGAAGCAAAATATACATAGATATAAACCCTAGCCTCAATGTAGGAGAATGAGAAGAAATTCATACCTAAAATCAAGAATTTCAAGTGAAAACCCAAGCCCTATAGACCTCTTTTCTCCTTTCTTTCTTTTCCTTTACCTTCTCCTAGGGTTCCAAGAGGTGTGGGGGTGAGAGTGAAGTGAAAGAAATGAGGGTAAAGGGGCTGAAATTAATGTTTTAAACACATCCAACCTCGAAAAATACTGTTCACAATCTGTTTTTGTTTTCTCAAAAATTATAGTTTTACCACTAAGAATCTCCAATTTAATCCATATGACTACCCTAAGATTTTTCGACATTTCGGATTCATTTTTAATGTTATTTTAACCTAAAAATATTTATTTTTATGATTTATTTCAAAACTAAAATAAATTTAGACTCGAAACATTAAAATTATTATTTTCTTCCTCCCTAGTATTTATTCTTACGGTTTCTATATATATGGTTTATGCTTACATCATTACATATATAAGAATCACTAAACAAGTACATTAATATATTAAGATAAACATGTGGGGGTTTACATTTTCAAAGTTTAAGAAGAAAACACAACACTTTACTATCCAAAGAATACCACAATGCAAATTTTTTTATCAACTTTGGAGAATAAATTGATTTGACTCAGGTAGTTCTAGTATGTGTGACTTATATGGTTGGAAAGATATACGAGTTAGGGTTCTAAAAAAAATAACGGTGCACAATTTAGATTTTTCAACAAAGAGTTATGATCAAATTGGTGAAAGATAGTCTGCCGGATTGCTTAGTTTTTCTATACTTGTTTGGAGTCTAAATATACTTATTATTCTTATATTTTGATTTAGGATGTAAATGGAGACGTTAAATATTAAACGAAGCTAGTTGGACGATTGTTGATAGTTTAGACATGTGGGGGTTTACAACAAGGCAGCATATGGAGGGGAAAAATCAAATGACTTAAATTGTTCACTGTCGGATTTGTAACTGATATAATCATTGCAGCTCCACACATTAATTCCAAGAATCTATAGAGCCACAAAGAGAAGTATAGTAAACATAGAGGAAGCAAGAAACAACCAATTTTGAGACTTTGTAATTGGTTTCTTAAATGCATAATGTAACACAATACGTTGCCCTCGAAGGGGGTGTCCTTCATCGTCTGCTTGTTGAATTGTGTTTGTGAGCGAGAGAGAGAGAGATAAGGGGGAATGAAAGACCGATTAAAGTTACCAATAAAGGAGGAGAGAGAAAGATAGATGAAGAGGTGGGTTTATCAATAACAATTTAGTGGTATATTAATATATGTTTGAGCTTTAGTAATTCGCTTATATTTAGGAATTAAAATTAAAATAACAACCAACAATTAGCAACTCAATAGTCAACATAATTGTGAGAATTGCATTATATAAAATTTAAAAATATTAATTACAGAAAAGATAGAATTGAGATTATTTATTTTGTTAAAATTATTTTAGTCAAACAAATATTTTTTATTTTTATTAATATTTAGAAGTAATATAAATATAAATTTACCCCACTCAGATAATGTGGATATCATCCATCAGTTTAGTCGAATCCCGTAACCAAGCGGGCCAAAGTACACCTTTTTTCATCCCGCGCTAACTCAGCATTTCAAAGACAAAACCCTAACAATCTCTCTCTCTCACCACCACACACACAGTTCTTTTCTTCTGAAATGTCACAACCAATAGCAGTGGACATTATCTCCGACGACGATGATCAGGACACAAGCAACGACGTCGCGTCGACTCCGCTCCCAAAGCAATTCAAGAAACCAAGAACAAACTCGAATTCCCATCCACAAAGCCCTCCTATCTTCGTCATCGACGATGACCCAACTCCTCGCAAACATTCGGTGGGTACTACCTCCACCCCGTCGTTTGTCGCCGAAACCCCGACGTCCGAGTCGCCGAAATCGGAAGTTTCAGTCGTCAAATGCAATACCGAAGGTGTTTTGAATACCCAGCTTAGGCCTTGTTTTATGTCTGATCATAAACCTTCGGGTAAGCTTCATTGCTTTATATGTGGAAAGTGTTCTTTTAAAAACCTGAATTTGTGGATTTTTTTGTTACTGTCCTAGTTTACGGTATTACGATGATTTAATTTGATTTTTTATTGGTTTTTTTGTTGTTGAGTTACTAATGAGAAATGAATTCAAATTAACGATACCATTTTCAGTGATAGATTTATGGTTAGATGCGGTTCATCTAAATTAGCGGTATTATTTTTGTTGCTACTCGTACAATTTGCTAGTTTATGTGATTATTGGATTTTTTTTTGCGCTATTAACTGGGTTTGATAGGTCTTGGCCTTTATTTTGTTGTTTTCAATATAAAATCATATCAATAATAATTACAGAAATTTGGCCAATAATGGGACTGAGAACCAGGACTGAGTTTTCTTTCACGGAATTCGACACTCTGAGAAGATAAAGAACTATTGTATATCAGACTTACTAGACAGTCACGCCTAGGGTTTGAAGTGCTTCTCTCCTTACTCCTGATATCTTAGCGAGGAAAAGCTACAAAATGATACACTTTCTCTTGCCCAGAAAAATTAAAAAAAATGTCACTTACAATGCGAGAAGAAACTATATAGGATTGCAGAGGATGTCTGTAAGGTGGGATAAGAGAATCATGGATGAGAAACAAGTATAGTTGCATGAATGATTTCTGAAGTGGGATATGAGACTGCACCAATTGAATCACTTCACATCTGTTTTTAAGCCTCCCAAAATTTATAAGTTGATTCTACTTCCCTTGCATATATTTGAAACATTCTTTATGGCATTGTTTTGTTGACTGATATATTTCAGAGTGTGATAAATCCAGCGATGTAGGTATCTTTTTTCTTAACATTTTTGTGTTTCTTAAATGAAAAGAATTTTTATTGTTAGATTTGTCATGGTACAAATAGTTTATCCAAGATTCTTGTATGGGTATTTATGATGATGTTATTTTGGAATTTGGGCAGGGGCCTGCCCATTTATGGCTTGCTTACAAATTTATGTAGGTTAGGTCAAAGTGATTGCTTTGGCTTTCACAATTTTTGGCCTTTAAAGAGAGTTTTGTACATATAATATATGTGATCTTGTGGCATTGCTTTGAGAGAGAAATCAAAAGTTTACAAACCATTGACTAGTGATTTGTGAATATGGCATATCTTCTCCAAGGTTTAAACCCTTGTGATGCAGCAAAATCTCAAATTTGTTGTAAATTACTATATACAACAATAAGTAACACTTTTTAATGAATTTTCAAGATTAGAATAAAAAAAAGATCAAAAATATATGAATTTCTAGGACAAGAGACTAAAAAAAGACTAAAATTTTGAATTCTCTAGAAAAAGAATAAGAAAAAACTACTACAAAAATTCATAAAGAGGTATTTTTACTAGGGATGTCTTAGCATCACCTTAATAACTATTTAGTCCTAGCCCTTCAAGATAACTAAAAACTCACATGATAGTCACATGAATTTTTAAAAAGAGTAGGACCATAAGTACCATCTATAAAACTCGTATAAAATATAAAATAATGCAGAAAATAAAAAGATAATTAAAAAATTTGGTAACTAAGGCTTTCACTAAGTCTATTAGTGCGCCAGTTGACACCAATTGTTTAGTCATATCTGTGAAGACTATAGTTATCAAATCAAGATTCGTATTGGGAATTAAAATTCTAGATTTGAGAATCGAAAATTATATCAAATCAGGAATCGTAAAATTTGATACAAAATTCGAACAATGATAAAAAATAACATGTACAAATTTAAAATAGGCAATATATTAAATATTGAACATTATTGTATTTTTAAAATAATCAATTGACTAATATTGACATGACCACGTCGTCTAAATGAAAAGATGCTAGCCTTTATAAATCTTTGCAAAATTACACTTGAGTTTGTACCCTATTATTTCTTTCTTAATGCATAATAAATCGTTTTTTCAAAATGGTCATAATGTAAGATGTATGATTTTAACCAACAAATAGATATGGTGCAAAAATGTGATCCTCTTTTATGGTGATTAGAAAATCATCCAATCCATGGAAACTGTAAACTTCACCCATACATTGCGGTGTTGACCACTCTTTGATAGCTCTTATTTTTTCTTCGTCATAACTTGCTTAAATGTGCTCAGAGCATTAGAGAGTCCGAATGTCATCACTAACCACTCACAGAGTCCATTAGGTGTTTTGAAAGTGGTCTTCCATTCATTACCACTTTGCATTCAAATTTGATGATTTTCACTTCTCAAATCTATCTTGGAATACACCTTGGATTTAGCGAGAATGTCAAGAATGTCTTTCAAGCAAGGAATTAGAAAGCGATACTTCCCTATAATCTTGTTTATGGTACGACTATCCACATACATTCTCCATGAACTATCCTTTTTGGGTGTAAATCAAGCTAGGACAACACTAGGACTTTTATTTTCACACCCCAAACCATTGTTAAGTAACCTTTCAACTTGTTTTTGCATTTCAGCTTTATGTGCAGGTGGCATTCTATAGGTCGATAGATTGGGTAAAGCTGCACCTTGTAGTAAATCAATGACATGTTGAATGCTCCTCATTGGTGGCAAACCTCACAGTAACTCATCACTGACAAGCTCCTGAAAATTTTTAGTAGTTGTTGAATTTCGAGTGGATAATCTTGAAATTCAATCTGTTGGGCCTCCATTACACTCCTAGTACCTATCTACCGGTGCATAGATAATTCCCAATTCTCTACTCTGCACTTCAAAGTTTTGGGCTAACCTTTCTAGTATTAGGAAAAATTATAGTTGTCAAATTGCGTATCGAAAGACGTATTGTTTTTAAAAAATAGTGTATCATATCGTATTATATATCGTGTATCGCAAGATATGCGCAATTTTAATTTTTAAATAATTTTTAATAAAGTATTTATATATACCTTTATAAAAAAGTTATAGACTCGTAATAACATAAAATTTCATTAATATTCCACCAATTATTCAAGTTCTCAACATAGTTCAGTAACATTAAATGCAAATACCTCTAATTCAAACTTTTAGTATTAACTGCTTGAACAATCTTAATATTTATCAGGAATTTTGAATTCAATTGAATAACGTTAACAACAGATTTTATTTATTTTTTAAACCATAACCAATAAAACAACGTTGTTTCACTGGCTAGTGATTTAAAAATAAGTTATAGTATAAAATGATGTCATATTAGTCCCAAAAAATCCAAAAAAAAAAATAAAAAAAAGAATCGTCACGTATCGTATCGTGTATCGTACGATACAGTGCAAAAATGATACAGAGATACGATACGTATCGTTTTTTAGGTGTATCGTGCCGTATCGTACGATACGTATCACATATGGGAAAAACTGTAGCTTTTTCCTTTAGAGGTTACAAAGTTAGGTTCTTACTACCTTTCTTGAAGGAATAAGTATTGGCTTTTGTATAATGGATTATATGCTTATCATACAACCATGACCGCCTTAAAAGAATATGACTTGCATCCATGGATATCACATCACACCAAACTTTGTCATCAGTCGTATTATCTGTAGTAAATTTAACCAAGCAACAACAAGTGACCAGTACCTCATTTCTTCTTCGGAACCAAGCAACGTTATAAGGATTAGAGTGCTCTTCGGTTGGTAATTTCAACTTCTCTATAGCATCCTTGGAAATGATGTTTGCACTGCCACCCCCATCAAGAATATTACAAACTTTACCGGTGCAAAAAACTTCTGTACAAAAATATTGTGTTTCCTCCAATCCTCTTATCACTCTTCGTACCACTAAGGACTCCCCTTGTACCGGAAGAATTTCAACATCTCCCTTATCATTTACATATTCATCATAGCTAGGTTTCACTACTTCCTCTTCTTCATCCCCAAACTCTATGAGATAACTCTTCTTTGTGGGCATGCATAATATGTGTCCTTTTTTGCTCCACAAGTGAAATAATGAAACTGTGAAGTAATTCCTGTCTTTGAACTATTTGCATCAGCAACATATTCTCCATCAAACCTTTCAATTGTGTTTCCTTACTCACTTCTATCAGTCACCTCATTGCTTCCACCACCTAGTTGATTTGTTGTAGTAGCCTCACGATCAAGTTTTGAGGCCATTTGTTCACTCCAAATACCTCGTGAAAGAATGTGTTTCTCTGTGTTGTACCATAAACCCTTCCAAATAATGGTCTTCTCGCACCATAACGCCAAACTCTCTTTTCAACCATTAAGGTATTTTGTCGAGCATCTTCTATGTTGAACATACGAACCACTCCCATCTCATCCCTAATTGAGTGGTTCAAGGCCGAATGATAAACAAGTAGTTATTTGTTCATTACTCGTTTAAGCCAACCCGAATAGAAAGATTATTGAACTCAGATGCATACTTCTCTACCGTAATACCCATTTGTTTGAAGGAGTGAAATCTTTCATACAACTCCATTCCATAATCGACTGGCAAAAATTGCTTTTGCATCTTCACCTTCGTATGTTTCCATGTGCAGATTTTTCGCTTGCATTGTTGAGACCGTTGCTCTTCAACTCGCTTCCACCATTGAAGTGCAGTATCCTTTAATTTAAGCTTCACAAATAGGAAATTTCTCTCATCTGCCTTGGATTTTCACTCAAAATAGGTCTCCACACTAGCTTCTCAATCCAAAAAATCTTCAGCATGCATCTTTTCGAAAAAATCAACAACTTCGATCTTAATTCTTCCACCATTCAAATCAAGAATACATACCAATCTTTCTTCCAATCCACCTCGATTCAGAATGTCTACGTGCTCAATTTTTTGGAAGGGATTCTCATCTTCAACTTCATGATCATCAGCAGACTACCTTTCGGTCTATGAAAGGGTCGCGGTTGCCTTTTAGAATCTCCATACGGTCCTCTTCATTGTTGTGTTTGTACTGCTCGTGACAAATCTTCACTCATACTCCTCATCTCAACCATCTCAGTTTGTTGGAACTGATTTCCTTTCCACCATGATTTCTACAAATCCGGCCATGATGTAAATCTAGAGCTCTTATGCTCTGATACTAAATTGATGTAACACAAATCTCAAATCTGCTGTAAATTACTATTTAGAGCAAGAATTAACACCTTTTGATGGATTTCCAGCAACAAGATAATAAGAAAAAGCATTAGAATAAAAAACAGAACAAGAATATATGAATTTCTAGGGCAAGAGACCCAAGAGACACTGAAATACTGAATATTCTAGAATAAGAATACAAAAAACTGCTACAAAAACTCATAAAGAGGTATTTATACTAGGTTATAGAAGCCCTAGCATCCTAGCCCTTCTGTCACCTTAATAACTCTTTAATCTTGGCCCTCCAAGATAATTGAGAACTCACATTACAGTCACATGACTTTTTAAAAGGACTAGGACCATATATACCATCTATAAGACTCGTATAAAGTATAAAATACTGCAAAAAGTAAAAAGATAACTAAAAAATCTGCTAACTAAAGGCTTAAGCTAAGCTTATTAGTAGCTCCGCCTGGTCTCAAAAAGCCTCTTGGATGCTCCCACATCACCTTGGAATCCAAGGGTGTTCATCTTGTTAATTCTAATACTACAGTAAGTCCGCTGCCATATGTGCTTCCAATTTGGACTCCAAAATGTGTGAACTTCATATTACCTAGTGGAGCTGGTATTATGAACCACTTAATTGTCCAAATTAATGATCATTTAGTTAGGAGACATTAATTTGACCATTGACAAGCCTCATTAAGAGTGACAAGTCATCCTTGTGGCAGTAAAAGCCAATATAAAAGATGTCACAAAGATAAGTGTGGCTGAGGTGGTGTCTTACATTAGGGGTAGTGGTGTCAATTCAGCTTTGAAACCTGAATCAATGTTATTGGCAGCCAAGGCCATTTCTCCTAATCCATCTTGCTCCTTCGCAGGTATGACAAACAACCCTTGCGTCCCTTGGATAATAGATTCAGGGGCGTCTGACCACATGACTGGTTTATCTAATCTGTTTACCTCCTATTCTCCCTGTCCGGATAATATCAAAGTTAGAATAGCCGATGGATCTCTATCAGCCATAGCAGGAAAAGGAAAAATTCCTATCTCTCAAAATCTTGCCCTTAATTCTGTTACATGTTCCCAAACTTACCTATAACTTGTTTTATGTTAGCAAATTTACTAAAGACCAAAACTGTATTGCTAACTTTTATCCTACCTACTGTGAGTTTCAGGACTTGATATTGGGGAAGAGGATTGACAGTGCTTGGTTGGAGAATGGTCTGTATTATTTTGAAGAAGTATCAAGCTTAGGTAGATAAGTTCAAGTCGAAAATAAAGCCTCCACTTCTCTTCAAGAAGATAACATTTTGTTATGGCATCGTAGATTAGGACATCCCAGTTTTCATTATTTAGCAAAATTGGTTCCTGTTTTATTTTTTAATAAAGATCCTTATCTATTTCAATGTGAGATTTGTGAACTTGCAAAACATCATAGAGCACATTTCTGCTCAAAAATTTATGAAAAATCTTTGCCTTTCAATCTTATTCATAGCGATCTCTGGGGTCTATCCCGTGTGAAAAATATTTCGGGTTCAAGATGGTTTATATCTTTTATTAATGACCATACTCGTTTGACATGGATATACCTATTAAAAGACAAATCTAAAACATTTTAGTGCTTTCAAAATTTTTACAACATGATTAAAACCCAATTTGGTGTTTCTATTCAAAATTTTCGAACGGATAATGGTCGTGAATATTTCTCTAATGTACTCGGTAATTTTTTTTCTGAAAAATGAGTCATTCATCAATCCTCCTGTATTGATAGTCCTCAACAAATGGTCTCACCCGAAAGAAAAAATCGGCATCTTTTAGAAGTTACTTGGACATTAATGTTCACCTATCAAGTTCCAAAATATCTTTGGGGGGAAGTTGTTTTGATTGCTTAATACTTAATTAATCGTATGCCATCTAAAGTTCTCAATTTTCAAACACCCATTCAAATATTTAAAAAATTCTATCCAAATACAAAGTTATTACACTCTTTACCCCTAAAAACATTTGGCCTTCGTCCATATTCACAGTCAATTTCGAAGCAAACTTGATCCTAAGGCCATTAAGTGTGTGTTTTTGGGTTACTCTCCTACTCAAAAAGGATACAAGCGTTTTGATCCCATGTCTAAAAAATTCTCTGTGTCAGTCGATGTCACCTTTTTTGAACATCTTCCTTATTTCTCCAAAACTCCTCTTCAGGGGGAGATAAGCTCACAATTCGAATCGGAAGATAAGTTTTGGGAATCAGAAGTAGAATCAATTCCAAATATCTCTTCATTTCAAAACTCAAATGAGCCTTAAATCTCTCCAAATTTCTCTACAGTTCAAAATTTGAATGACACTCTAACTTCTCTACCAATCTCTCTAAACCAAAATTCAAATTCAGATTTTTTAGTCACTCAAAAAAATCAGCAAACTGAAAATTCAAAAAATCTTAGGAACTCGGCAAATATTTTTCCAAAAATTCCAAAAAATTATGTCTCAATCCCGGTGCTAGAAAATCACAAAGAGGGGGAGGAGTTTAACTGCCCTGAACTTCGTGTTTATACAAGGCAGAAAAATCCTAACAGGGTGATGCAAACCTTTCAACCCATACCAATACTGCCCTATCCTTCAGCCGAGATTGAGGAATCAAACGCAAAAGGTACTGATCTAAATCTACCCATAGCAACTATAAAAGGAGTAAGAACCTGCACACAACATCCCATCGCTAAATATACCTCATCATAGATTATCTCCTGCCTATTTGTCTTTTGCCCTTAATCTGGCTTCTGTAGAAATACCCAGGAATATTGAAGAAGCTTTGGGGAAACAAGAGTGGCGTGCGGCTGTAATGGAGGAGATGAAGGCATCGGAAAAACTAGAACCTGGAAGATTGTTAAATCGATAGAAAACAATGTTCTTGTTGGTTGTAAATGGGTTTTCACTCTCAAATACAAGGCTAATGGATTGATTGACCGTTACAAAGCACGGCTGGTTGCCAAAGGTTATACATAGACTTACGACATCGACTACCAGTAGACCTTTGCACCTGTAGCAAAGATGAACACAGTCAGAGTGATCATGTCTATAGCAGCAAATCAAGATTGACCACTCCACCAGCTTGACGTAAAAAATGTTTTTCTTAACGGAGAGCTAGTAGAAGAGGTGTATATGTCTCTCCCCCCAGGATTTGAGAAACACTACAAAAAGGACAGTGTATGTTGACTAAAAAGATCACTATATGGTCTGAAGCAATCAGCAAGGGCCTGGTTTGACAGATTTTCAAAGGCAATAAAAGGCTTTGGGTTTGCACAAAGTCAAGCTGGCCACACACTGTTTCTAAAGTATTCGGCAGGGAGAATCATTGTGTTAATCGTATATGTTGACGACATAATAGTGACAGGTAATGATAATAAAGGTATTCAAGAAGTTAATCAGTATCTTGGGAAGGAATTCGAAATCAAAGATCTTGGATATTTGAAGTATTTCTTAGGAATGGAAGTAGCAAGATCAAAATCGGGTATTGGAGTCATGCAAAGGAAGTATACATTGGATCTACTCAAGGAGGTCGGAATGCTAGGATGCAGGCCTAGTGAGGTTCCTATTGAACCAAACTTTAAATTGAAGGATAGTGGAGATAAGAAACAGACCAATAAGGAAAGATATTAACGACTAGTCGGTAAACTCATATATCTATCTCACACTAGACCCGATATCGCCTTCTCGGTTAGTGTGGTCAGTTAACATATGCACTCTCCAACAGACGAACATCTGGAAGCTGTGTATAAGATTTTAAGGTATTTGAAGAGAACACCTGGTAGAGGATTGCTTTTCTCTAATCAACACCCATTAAAGATTGAAGCTTATATAGATTCAGATTGGCCTGGATGTATCAATGACTGGAGGTCAACAATAGGTTTCTGTACATATGTGGCAGGTAATCTGGTCTCTTGGCGAAGTAAAAAACAAACTGTTGTGGCGCGAAGCAGTGCTGAGGTAGAATTCAGGGCTACAGCTCAAGCTATATGTGAACTGTTGTGGCTTAAAAAACTAGTCGAAGAAATGGGTATTAAAGTTGAAGGACCTATGAAGCTTTTCTACGACAACAAGGTAACAATTAACATTTGTCACAATCTTGTTCAACATGACAAGATGAAACATGTTGAAATTGATAGACATTTCATTAAGGAGAAGTTAGAAGAAGGAGTTGTCTGTATGCCTTACGTACCTACAAAAGAACAGATAGCTGATTTGTTTACAAAAGGGTTGTAGAAACAGACATTCGAAGATTTAGTGAGCAAGGTGGGTCTTTACGATGTGTACGAACCAGCTTGAGGGGTAGTGTGGGAAAACACGTGTAATTCTAGGAGTGTTGTGGTGTAGATATTTTTTAAATTTGAATTTAAACAGAACCTTGTATATAGGAGTTATCCTAGGAGTTATATTCTGATTTGATTTTTAGGAGTTATCCTAGGAGTTATATTTTGATCTGATTGTTATCGGGTTAAGTTTATCCCTTTAAATAGGGCTACCTTGTACACTTTACCAAGTATCTATGAAATATTCAGTTTCTCTAATTCTTCAGATACCGAGATGGCTGCCCTTAGGTTTGGATGTTTGAAGCTTTCAAAGTGGCTCTGAACTTTTATCAACCTTGTTTCATCATCCGTGGTTATGCATCTATCGATGTTGTTATTGTCTAAATTATGCATAATATTATTGGGAGTTGGTTGTTACTAGATTCTATGCATTTATCGTTGCTGGTGTTATCTCTCACCGGTTTGATTATGTCATCGAATTACTGGTTAGTTTTGTCGAAATGGTTAATTTTGAGTACACACGTTTTTTATGGTTAGTGATGATTCAAAATTAGAAGATTGTAAGGTTATACCCATTGTTCAAGGCTGCCGTATATGGTGAGATCTAAGAAGGTAAGTGGTAAGCAACCTCAAACCATTTTGGAGAGGCTGACTCTGGACTCGAACCTGCAGTGCATCACTCGAGCGGATCAGAATTTGCTTTTGCTCCAGATCTGACCTCTTTAATGTCAATTCAGAATATGGTTGAAAAAACTTTTAAAGATACTAAGCTAAAACATTTAAAGATACTAAGCTAAAACTTTTAAAGATACTAAGCTAAGGTTTTCATGAATTAGTAGTCAAATAGGGATTACACATAACTTTTGTTTGAAGAATTTTTGTTAAATTTGATTTGGAGTGTGATTCTAATGACTAATGTAGTTGTAATTTTTTTCCTCTTAGGTATCAATGGATTGATATGCTTGGAGTCCGATAATGACTCTGAAAATGGTTCTATGAATGAAACGTGGAAGCAGAATGAAACAATGTTGAATTCCATAGAATTGACAATTCCCCTTGGTACGTTGATGTTATATCTAGTGAATTCTTTGTTTGTGGCGGTGATCTCTGAATGCAGTCATGAATTAAGAAAGTGAAAAAGGAAAAGTGAAAGGTCTAATTTTGATTATTGCTTTTGAAGTTGCAAAGGATTCCAATTTGAGCTCTAGATATATCGAGTCCAGATTGCCATCTGGTAAGTTCCTATCCCATCTACTGATTATATGAATGTTGTGGTGATGTCTGAGTGCGGTCATGAGTTATGAAAGTAGAAAAAATTGAAATAAACTGTTCATTATATGGAATTGACCTTCAGATGCCTTTAGGGAAGTTACACAAGAAATTTTAACGGGGAATGTTCATGTAGCACAAGTGTTCGGGTATAGTTTTTCACATCCAAATTCATCTGAAGATGATATTGTTCAGGTACTACCTCTTGATGCATAATGATATTGACATTTATTATTGCTATTATTTGTTCTTTAGAAGCAGTTGGTGAATTTTTCTTGATTTCCTTTTTTCTCTGGATCAGTGTCGTAAATATGAGACTTGGAGTATATATGTGCACCCACTTGTATATCTAAGTTTGCCTCCTGGTGATAATTAGTTTTTTATGACTCGTTTATGCTGACGCTAGAATAAGTTTGTGTCAAGAATTATATTTGATGTAAAATTTAAAATTTTTGTGTTTGTAGTTTTCGTTAGTTATGTTCAGATGTGTATGAGAAAGGAGTAGGGAAGTGCTTCCTTTGGAAGTTCAAGTTGCGCTTGGCGCTAGGGGTGGGCACCAACTCCGACGAAGTTAGAAAGCATAGATCCGAACTCCGACTTTGACTATAGTCAGAGTTCATTTTTCCCTCAGATTTCGACCAACTATAATTCCGTCTCTGATTCTGCTTGCTGGAGGCGGAGCGGAAGTGGATCGAAGCAAAAAAAAAAAAAAATTAGTTGAAAAATCCAAACAAAAACCAGAAAAGAAATAAAAAATTCACCAAAAACACAAGACACAAAAATAAATCTAAAACCAAATGTGTATGGGTGATTTAGGGTTATATCTATCTAAGAAAATACCTAGCACCTTGAATTTTTATTTCTTACATATTTTTTCCCAAAAAAAATCACATCGCCTATTTCTATCACATGTTCAATCATTTAATATTTGGTTAATTTATAATTTAACGAAATTTTTTTGCACACATTGTTCATATATGTTAGTATACACATGTTAAGAAAATTTTGTATATTAGGTATTTTAAGAAAATTTTGTCAATTTTTTTTAGAAAAGAATGGGTAAAAATTAATTTTAAATGATGTAATCAAAGAAAGGAAGGAAAGAAAATTTATTATTTAATATAATGAGATTGATTTTTTGGATGTTCGAATTTTATGATTAGCGTATATATATATATATAAAGACAAAGAGAGATTTATTATCGGATGGCCATTGTTGTTGAGTTCTTTGTTGAGATCTAAGCCTAGATCTGTGAGATGTCTACTGTGGCTCAATTGGAGGAGCGTTGAGTCGACTGTGATTCAATAAGAGGGAGCCTGTATGAGTGAGGGAGCACCCATCATCAACTGAAAGAAGAGGGAGAAAGAACGTCGACCGAAAGAAGAGAGAGAACATCGATTGGGAGAGAAGAATGTCGATTGAGAATGTGTGAGAGAGAGTGGAAATAAAATATTGGGGTGGGCCAGTAGTGAGTTTAGGGTGATGGGGATCATGTAGGAATTGGATAAATATTATAAATTAGTTATGAGAGTTATTTAGATACTTTTAATATTTATCTTTTAAGTAATTTTTTTTAATTTTTAAGGGTTTATTTGTCATTATTTATTTGTTTTAGGGTTTAGTTTTCCTATATAAAAGGATGCATGAAAAGATTTTATTTAGATTAGACTTTGATTATTATTGAATACTCTTCAAATTCTTTCTCTTTTCTCATCTCTTTCTTCTTCTCTTCTCATCTCTAATTCTTCCCTTCCTAGTCTACATCAATTTGGTATCAAAACTAATACGATTTATATCAATTTGGTATTAGAGTACAAACTCTAAAACAAATAAATAATCTATCTAGGCTTCTTTGGATTGCTTGCCAATACTGTTTAGCGGAACCCTCCAACATCAATTTAGCAAAACGGACGCAATGGGATTACGACATGTCATGCCAATCAAAGTATTCTTCTAAATTAGCTAACCAATCCAAGAATTCAAAAGGAGACAATTTTGAGAAGCTCCATTGATGGGAATGGTGTTGGAGTCCCTATATAGGGTAAGATAGACATTAAGTTAGCTTTAGCAAGGGTTAATGTTGGAATTTTATTTAATCGTTTAAAAGGGAAAGAACAACTTCGTGGGAAGTCATTTTAGGACCATTTTGAGAAGCCAAGAAGGCCATGTTTGATTTAGTTTTCTAAAACTGTTTTTTGTTCTCAAAATTTCGAAAACACCTAAAACCTGTTTATTTAGCATTTTTGTTCTCTAAATTTTGGGAAAAAATGAGATTTGAGTTAAAGAAACAGAAAATAAGTGTAGCATGTTTTCAGAGTTTTCTTTGAAAATTTGGGAAATAAGGAGAACAATTTTGAATGTTCAGATATGGGTATATATATCCTATATATATATATATATATATTGGTATATATAAATATATGTATAAATATATATAAATATACATATATATAGGATATATATGAATATATATTAGAGATTATAATATATATATATATATATATATATATTTATATATATGGGTATATATATCCTATTTATATCCTATATTTTTATATACAGGATATATACCAATTTATATATATATATATATATATATATGTTTATATATATATACATTTATATTTATATATATAAATACGTATAAATTTATATATATTATGAAATTGTCAATATAAAAATTACTTTTTTATATTTTTTTATTAATGTTTGAATTACTGTTCAAATATATATTTAGGCTGTCCAAGCAGGTTTTACTATTTTTTATATTGTAAAATTATTTTTGAAATCATCTAACCAAATAAGTTTTTTATCTCAAAAAATATTAAAACTACTTTCTTAAAACTGTTTTCGGATACTATTTTTTGAAACGCAAACCAAGCAGGCCCTAACTTTTCAAACTCTTATAGAATGGAACAAACTTTTTTAAATGGACTTCTAGAACTCAAAAGTCCGTCTAGATGTGCCGCTACACACACCCTCAATAATTGGGATTTTAGAGAAAGCATCCTAAGAAAGACATTGTCATATACACACATGCTTAATAGAAAGAATTTATATTGGGCAGGGCAACTTACTAATAAATTATTTACTTATGTGAGTGCGACAGATAGTGTGTGTAGGCGGCTAATTCTAATAAAGGGAGTGAATTTTTCCCTATAGAAAATATGGAATGACGATCACTCTTCCTTGTCACTTTTTGTAACCTGAGAAGTGAGATGAAATGTTATACTGTTTTGACTTTTTTTCCCTGAAGCAAATGTCTTGGGAGAACTTGTTTTGTTTCTCTTTTCTTTGTAGTTGAACTTGTCTCTAGTAGTCATGTGCTCTAGCTTGCTTTGCAGGGGTGTAAGTTTGGTGGGCTAATCTGAACTTGACCCAAAAAATTCAGTACTTTGCATAGGGTTTCAATTCTTGGTTTGGGCGTGGGCAAAAAGACCTCAACTCAGTTTGAACTTGGGCAATATTTCGGTTGAGGCTTCAGGCTGATTGGGTCCAACTTGAACCCAGATTGAAATGATAAAATCAACCTGATTTCAACCCAAAATTGGACTAGAAAACGAAGAATTATTGCTATACATGCGATGTTAGGGAGTTGTGCCACACTATTGTTACTTATTCATTCTCAAAGACTCACACCTTCTTTTTTCCCTTTCTCAAATTCAATCCTTGCATTATCTCTCTCTCTCTCTCCCCCTTTCTTTCATGTTGCACCAGCGCACCACCGTCCACTCATCCATTATCAATCATCATGTCTCGGTCCAAACCAGACCTTGGATCTGTTGATGAAAGGGATGTCTATGACTAGGGTGTACCAGTGGTTGGAGGAGATTACGCTCAACTCTCAAGACACTAGTGGTGGCTAATGAGACCTTGTAGTTGCTTTCTGAGTCATTTAAGGACTTGAAGCTTTTGGTGGTTGGTGTTAACTTCCTCACTATTGAAGTGCTCTTTGCCATTGCTTACTATCACAAGGTTATTCTCTTTCACACTTTGTCTCATTATGTTCTTTGGTACATTGATTGTTGCGTTGAGACAGTTTGGGAGGAGAAATGGATATTAATGTTTGACCCTATTGTATAGTTAAAATTTTTTCATTTTGGTTTTTAATTTAGTTGCGAGTGATGTGAAAACTATATATAAACTTTAGGTTCAATTTTGGGTTTGAATGCAAAATTCTATTTTGGCTTAAATTTGGTTTTACTTGATGGGAAACCTGAAACTCAACTCGAGTTCAAATATCTAATTATGGGTTGAGCTTGGGTTGAAGGTGCTCAAGTTGATAGTTGCGTTGGGTTGGGTTGCGCTTGGTTTGCGGATTTTTTCACTTGGTTTGAGCCTTCAACCCACCCAACCTTGCTTGAGTTGCATAGGCTTGTGCAGCACTTGTCTAGAGTGTGAGCAAGACAGAGAAGTGTATTTCAGGCGTGCAAAACACTCACACACACTCAATACCATCACACTGGTTGTATTTTGGATTAGAAAAACGTAAAAGGAACACTATTTTACCAACACAACAAATATAGCTTATATCTGGTGTTTTGTTTTTGTTTGATTGTTTCTCCTTTGAAAAATTTTAAAATCAACATATTGACAAATAATGGTCATCCACAAGAATTAATTGAAGTAAAAAAACTTATTGATTAGATGAAGTCATGAAGAAAGAGCTGGCTGGAGATGAATCTCTAGGTCTCCACTGGGGTGTTATATTCAATCTACTAAGAATCTTTATTTTGCTTTTGAATGCTCTCTCTAAAAAGAAGTGTATTTTTTCATCTCTTGTGAAAATTGTGCACCCTCCCTCCCTTCCCTTCTGCCCTCTCTCTCTCTAAGTGAGCTATGTTCCTGATGACAATTGTGATTCTTCTCTGAAAATCAAGGTATTCGTGACGATTAAATGGTTGTGTTGCTAATAGAAAGGCTTACAACCATAAGAGCAACACCAACATTGTCAATGCCAACAACTGTGCAGAAGAAGTGAAAGTACATGATATTCAATGAATTTTGGGGATACAAGGGATAGCAGTGGTGGTGGGCATAGTAGAATGGGTATTTTGGTCATTAAAATTTCCCTCACACTAATATTACTTTTTTAGCAGCATCGAGCTAACTTCTGTCAATTCGGATGAAAAATCTAAAGATTTCGCTCGGGTCCAAAAGCACAAGGATTACATGCAAGTTTTTGAACTATAGGGAGGCGATGTGTATTGGGGGGAAATTACACGAAATCTATAATTTGTCCTTTATTATATGTGTTGCAATGGTTTGATGAAGTCCTTTGCAGGTACCTTATTGTCCGGAGCAAGAAATTGACAGGCTGGAGCTGATAGATAATGTCTTGAGACCGAAAGGTAAATGTAAAGATAATGCATATAAGAAAAGGAACATGGATGAAGCAATAGGAAAAAGGAGGATATCTAAGGAAGAAAGAGTCCGTTTAAAGGAAGAAAAAAAACAACAGAAGGAAGTAAGTCTTTATCCTGTTAGTATTTAGTTGGGCTTAAAATATGCCTTGTTGATATATGACCTGATTTATATGCACAATACAGCAAGAAAAGTTGCAAAAAGAAGTTCTGAGGGCTGAAGCTGTGGAGATGAAAAAACTACAAAAAGAAAGGCAAAAGTGGGAAAAGGGGAAGTTTGCTTTAAAATCAATTGTGGCTGAAATTGACCCTAAAATAGTTGAACTGGGTTCAGTTGGAGGCACGGCCTTTCTATACACTGCCTATATTTATTTCTGCAATTCAATATCCATTTCTGGTAATGTGCTGACACTTTTGCTTTCATAATTCAGGACATCTGCTTACAAGGTTTGCAGAAAAAGGTCTTACATATCGTATAACGTCAAACCCAATTGAACGATCTATTGTGTGGACAATGGCTGTTCCAGAACAAATTTCACAGGTCGTAAATGGGCATAATTTAATGAAAATTTCTGTACGCCTGCGATCTTTGAGCACCATTTTCCTTTTGTTCTGCACCATTGCGCCTTCTGTCCAAATTACAAAATTTCATTTTGTGAATAAGTGAAGTGGAGCTAATGAATTTATATAGTAGGGGTGGATTTTGAACCCTTCACCAAAGAGAGCTTCACAGAAAATTGAATATGCATGATATAGAGAATTTGATAATGTTGTTGTATCTACTTCAATTCAAAGATCAAATAGAGGAAAAGGATCTTTGTTGATTGTCATCAAGGGCTGTTTTTTTGTGCTGGTTGTCTTATTGTCTTCTACATATTTATGTACAAACTATTTGAGGAAGTGTCATACTCAGTTTGTACCATTTCCATTAGTTTTTCAATTTATTTGTTCTATGCGTTTACTGTCCTTTATTTATTAAGATCTCTCTGTTGTTTTGTACAATTTGGATTTGACTTGCTGGTCTCAATTTTGCCATCCACAATTTGTTGTTGGGATTCCAAATGCTAAAAAGTATACTTTTTGCTTGCGTTTTGAGAGATGTTGATGTCATCTTTGTATCGCAGCTCTCGTCTGAGAGGATCGAAATTCAATATGTGTTACTCGTATATGAAGCCGAAGAGTTCTGCAACCTTGTCATGAATGAATCCCTTATGACTCATGTTTCCTGTGTTCGAAGTCATTATCCAACTCATACAATTTGCTGCCTTACTAATCGACTCATGGCATATATCAATAAAAGGTTTGTGGCCCCAGTTATTGTCCTTCTGTTTATACTAGCAATGCACCTCACTGTACATGAGCACATTTTGGTAGTAAATTTTTTTTATTAAATCTCTAGAAACCATAAAGCATATGTGTAATTAAGCTAAACAACACCCAATATTATAATAATCCACCTGCGTAGAAGTGGAGTTTGCTATGCCCTCATAAACAAGAGGAGTACATTGACTTGAGAAAGACAGGTGCATAATTGAAATACGGGGCATTTAGGAGAGATTTCTGTTGAGCAAAAACATTTTTGTGGATTTTGAAGGGTTGTCTGGAGAGTTGATTCGTGTTACGGAGTTGAATTGTTTTGGATTGTTTGCTTGCAGATTCAATAGAGGAAGGTTAACATGGTTGAACGAATCAATGGGTTTATGCTATGCAATGGAATAGAAAGGAGATGTTTTTGAGAAACATTTGGAGATTTTGTTTGAGTTACTAAGTTGTTGACTAATGGCAGGAGGATGGGTTTGATCATTCCAAAGGGTGTTGAAGGAAAAGGATGGAAATCTTTTCAGAGATTGTTTGAAAAGGTAATTCAGATTTTTAGCAGGGGAATAGAATTCTTACAGGGGAGAATTATGAAGGAGGAATGAAAGCACATTCTATTATTGTCACAAGGACTCTAGTACTATCGAAGGAATGCAGTTATCTCTAGAGAGTTCGAGAAATGGACATTTGTTGTGGTTTGCATCCAGGAAAGTTTATTTCACCCATAGAGAATGATTTAGGAGTTGTCCAATATCCCTAATATTCTGTGAGGTATATATATTACACTAAGTGTAAACCCTAACAACATTATAATAATACTCTCAAAAGATGTTAATGTTGAATGTCTATTGGTATATCTTATATTGTATTTTTTATGTAGTGATATCATGATATGAATTTTTAGAATTAGGGGAAGGATGAATTGAAAGATTATTATGATAATATTTTTGTTTTATCACATGATTATATCTATATATACACACACATATACATACATACATATACATATACATATTATTTAATGTGTTCGTGTCCTACTTTTTTTGAAAAATTGTGTAGATGTGCTCAAGTTGTCTTGTATCTATGTTCATCCTTCTTGGATTGTAAACTTCAGTCGTGAGGAACAGATGAGGATGTTGGGGGAAGGTTTTAGCAAATTGGGTACATTGCTCGCGAAGTTGAAGACGATGAAAAGGGGGATAGAGGAACGTGGCAAAAATATATGTATGAGTGTACACAAGTTAGGTGGAAATAAGGATAACAATAGCAAAGATATGACTATTGGGAATGTGCTAAAACAGATTGTTAATGACGTTTAAATACGTTAATTACCAAGGTAATTGGGGTTTGAGTGGTAATTTGAATTTTAAATAGGTTTTACAGCTGGGTAATAGCTGTAAGAATATGGGCCCTCAGAAGATGGGCTTCCATAAAATTGATGAAGTCAAAGTAGTTGAGCTAGGTATTTCCAATGGGTTAAATGGAATTTGGAGAGTGGGCTCGGTAAAGATTAAAAATGTTTAGCCTTTTAAAAGAATAGTGCGGCCCATCCAACTAAAAGCCCAAGCTCTATTTCTTTTAAGCATAGTTATCAAAATCGTACGATTCGGTTCGATACAGACTAGTGTTGTGAAAAGCGAGCCTAAGTGCGAGAAGCGAAGAGACCCTTGGTTGCCTTGAACATCTCGGGCGAAGCGTGGTTAATTAAAGTGATAAAAAAGTGAGCCTAGGCGACGAAGCGAAGAAGTGAGTCATGCGAGAAAAGCGAACGCCTGACAGTTTCTTAATTTTCTGCTTTTCCTCCCCCTCATCCTTCTTCTTCTTCTTCCTTAACATTAACCAAACCAAACCCTAGCAGAGATGATGTTATATGTGTATATATATAAAATAAATTGATTAATTCATCTAACAATATCATATGACAATCTATCTTATTATGATTAGATGATGTTAAATGCTCTGTTTTGATGTGAATGCTCTTGTTAATCAATTTGTTTGGTTAATTAAATTGATTAATCAATTTGCTATATGCTCTATTTGATTAATCAATTTGTGAATGACCTATTTAGTGGTGATATTAATCAATTATGGTGGAAGTCGAACCCACATTTGCTAATTTTACATTTAGATGGTGTGATTATGTCAATTGATTATTTTTAGAATGCAATAATGTTTAATATTTAATATTTTGTCTATTTAAAATATGTTAATGTTTATTATTTTAGTTGCATTTAAATATTTTATATTTGTAAAGTTAAAACTTGAGTATTTAGGAATAATCAAAGTATCAAATTAAAATACTTGCTTATTTTTATATTGTAATGTTTGCTTTACTTCGATGAAGAGCTCGTTTCTCGCTTCTCACTTTTCGCCTAGGCCCTCAGGAGACTGGTTTGCTTCGATTCGTTTTATGACTTAAATAACATTGATACAAGCACAAAAACGACTTGTATCTTATATGAAAATCGTTTTAAGAGATGAATCACACATAAATCATACAATTCGATTCTTATTGTATGATTTAGTTATTTTTTTTTTAAATCTAGATTTTTGGCCAAACGACGTTGTTTGGTTCGCTAAATAGTAAAATGACGTTGTTTTGTTTGTTGAGGAATCCACACCCTAATAAAAACTTAGCCTCTTTGTTAGTTCTCTCACGTCGTCTAAAGCCTGGTCTTGTGTTGACTAAAGTTAAAGCTCATGGCTAAAGTTCTTGCATCATCGGTTGAAGGTATGCCAGTTGCCCTTTTTTTTCTTTTATTTTTTTTTTACATTGGATTTTTCTATCTCCTGCCATCATATTTTAGAAAAATTTTGATTTTTACTTTCAATTCTTTCATGGTTAATATTTTAGTTTCTATTTTTTTGTCTTAAAATGTTGGCATGTATGTTTTCTACCAATTAATTTTCTTATTTGTTCTTTTTTCATTCATAATTGTAACTTAATCTATTCTCGGTGTCACTATTTTAGTTCTTTAATAGCCATGGTTCTTTAATAAATATTTTTTTTTCAAGTTGTTAAATTTGAAAATGGTTAAGGAAAAGATGAAAATGAAGTAAAAGGGTAGTGACTTTCCATTTAGATGATGTGATTATGTTAATTGATTATTTTTAGAATGCAATAATATTTAATATTCAATATTTTGCCTATTTTAAATATGTAGATATTATTTATTTTTTTTGTTTAAATTTTATGTCGAATTTTTTGATTCACAATTCAATATGATTCTCGATTTTCATATTTAAGATTCTCGGATTTGAATTCGTCATAAAAAAATGGAAAAAGGGTGGTCATTGAAAGGAAATGATGGTTACTTGTAAGTAATTGAAGTGATGAAAAATCTATTTTCAGAGAAAAATAAGTTGGAAATATTGAGGCAAATGAAGAAGAAATGAAGATAGTTTTGGAGATTGAGGTAGACGACTTTAACATTCAAGATATATCTATGGAGGTGGAAGACAGTGAGGAGGGCAATTGTAGCTCAGAAGATTTATTTCTCAAGTTTGATTTGAGATGTGAATTTAGGTTGAATTCTGAGGACATACTAGGGGATGCCATTACTCTTTTTAAAAATGAGGATAGCCCTAAGAATTGCTTTGAAGCATATCATAAGATAAGCAAGGTCAGTAAATAGAACTCTCTTATTCTTTTCTGCCTTGAGGCATATAGTTGTCCCCTTTCAAGCTCACCTTTGGTTTCTGCATATACTCCGGGGGATGTCACCTTTCTTTTGGTTTTGGCATGTTGGGTAATGGGGAGGCATCAAATCTTGGGATGAGAGTTATTTGTAATGAGAGGAGAACCTTAGAGCCTAAATGCTCTGATGAGCTTGTGTATACAGGGAAGGAGTTGGTTATCCATGAGCAAATAGATTCCAAGTTTTTCTTGGACGCACTAGTTTCTATCCCATTAGAAGTCCCTTCAGTTGGTTATAGTAGTCTAAGTTTGGGTCCTAATAATAGGTCACCATCAATGGACCTTTGGTCTAATGGTATTCCTTGTCTTATAAAGGCTTTGGCTTATTGAGGTCAAAGGTTTAAGTCTTCTCTCCCTTCCTTTTTCCCTTCCCCCTTTCCCAAAGAAAAATAATAAATAATTAAAAAAAAAAAATAATAGGTCATCCACAATTAATCTCTTTCCTGGAAATTTAGAAGTTGTTACTACCATGGCTGCTCTATGTCATTAGTGGAGAGGAAAAGGGAGATTGGATAGAGATGGGAGGGGATGAAAGTGTGGTTAATGACTATTTTATGTTTGATGAAGAAAAATGGGTGATTTGAGAAATTTTCTTAAAAAGACGAATTTTTTCATTTGTTCCATCCAAAAAGAAAGTTAGTAAACTTGAAGGTGGGAGAAGTGAGAGGAAAAGCAAGGGGATTAAAGAATTGAAGAATTTATATTCAGAGATTAATTATGAGGGTGAGAACTTTAGAAAGGATAATGAGGGAGCTTTGATTTGTTGATGAAGATTGTTTGTTGAAATGTAAGAATTTTAGGATCTTTGAGGAAAAGAAGTGAGATAAATAATTTTTTGGTTATAGTTGGTCGGATATTGTAGTCTTGCTAGAAACTAAAATGGAACTGATAGATTGGAGGATTATTAAGAGTGTTTGGGGATCTATTGAAGGCGAATATACTGTTTTTGTGCAGATTAGGAATAGGGATAGTTTTGATTGGTGGTTTATTGGGGTGTATGGACCAAATAAACCTAGGTATAAAGCACTTTTGTGGAATGAGTTACGGGGGTTGTTTGGATGTTACTTAGATCGTGGGTCGCTTTGGTACGTGGTACATGTATAGGTACGCAGAACGATATTTTTATATGTACATTGTACAATGGGGGTAGGCTTAACTGATACAGTGTTTTGGGTTGAAATTCGTTTTGGAACATTTATCCAAATCATTTTCATTACTATATATTATATAACATAGAACATTCATAAATATTAAATCAATTATCATTTATCGTACATTTGTGCATGATTTTCTATTATCTAAAATAATATATAATTATAAATCTATATGCATATAGTCAATTAATATGTATTTCATGTTTATGCTAAATCTTCCAAAGCGAATCGATTTAGAGTTAGTATTATAATTTGAGGTCATACATTTTGGTGATCTAAATTATGAACCCACCGTGTTTAGGATCGATGTACCCAAATCGTGAGTTGTCAGTGCCCTCTTCCCACCTTCTTGGTCATTCTCCCTTTTTGCTCAACACATACCCCAAAACACACCTTCCCCTCTGACGAAACCCTTGCATCTCCCCTTTAAACCTTTACTCCCAACCCTATTGCAGAACCCAATCCCCGAACAGAGGAATCCAATCTCCTTACACTTTTATCTGCTTCTCCCCTATGTCATCTATCATCGTGCCAACAACATGAAATTTGGTAGTTGTGCGTTGTGGTTTTGCTTGATATTTTCTTTTGGGGGGTTTTGATTTTTGAATATGTTGTTTCATTCATAAAAAATATTTTGTGGTTTCTTTTTTGTGGTTTCATTCAGACGAGGCAGGTGATGGTGATTGAGGTGTATGGTTGGAGGTGTGTATATTTTTTTGGGGAGGGGGGAGAGAAGTAGAGAAATAGTGGAGAAGAAGGAAAGAAAACTAATTTCATGCTAATGTTGAGTACGTTTGCAAACAAAACAATTTTGTTCCAACAAGGAATCAAAGGGGTGGTGTTGGGATTTTAGGCATTATTTTTGTTGGCATAATTTTTTTTAATGATGAAAGGGATATGCCAATTACTTTTTTTTTTTAACTAAGGGGTCATTGTGTCATTTTGCAAATATCTAGGGTTTTTGTGTTGTTTTAGCAACATTTAAAGGTTAGGGAAAGCACGGATATTACTGTTATTGAACACCTTAAAAATTATAATTTTTAGTAATTCTTTAACAAGTTAACAAAATTGGAAATTTTATCTTTAAAAATGTGTAATAGCGTCTTATTATGATATATACATAAAGTGAACATCACTGGTCAAATGAATTAGAACTAACATTTAACTAGTTAATTTGCTTACAAATATTTGTTTAAAAGGTTATAGTGTAAATAACTCATTTTATGTTATAATAGTTAATGCTTAAAAAATACTTGTGTTTTCAAAATCAAATTGAATTTTGCTGATATTTTTGTATTGTATGTAAACTCGAAAGGAATAGTTATAGATTAAAATTTAAAATTGTACATCTTGCTTCATGTATAGAAATATCCACGAAGTATACCTATATTTTATTAACTATCGGATACATATGATGCGTTTCCGATACGTATCCTCAAGTATCTGACGAGTATCGTATTTGATATAGTTACGTCGATCTTGACGAAGTATCTGTGCTTCATAGATTGCACCTAATCATACTTCTTCTTTTTGTTATTGATGCAAATCGTATGCACCTGTTTGCGTAAAATATTTATCTAAGATACCAATACCCCATCAATGGATGCTTCCAATTGTGGCCCTGTAATGAAACTTGTGCCTGGATGTGTTGGGTGTTTTCTATGAGCTTCTGGCTTGCTGCCACCACATAGACACCCCGTCAAGCTTGATGAATTTATCTTGCTTTTCTTACGTCACCAAGTTCTTTTGTTTTTGCCTCTTTGACATACTTAGTTGCCCGTCTTTTATGCTGTGGTTAACCTCTATTCTTATCAAAAAGAATTGCACTGACAATTTTTAAATGCACAAACTTTCGCCATGGATACACGATAGTAAAGTGGTCTTTAAATTTGCCCATTAATAAATGTTGTACCTTGTCTGTTTGCATTTTAGATCCTGCTTGTTGGAGTTCTAGTTTGTATCTTATCTTGGACATTGAAATTTACACATATATCCGTGAAGACATTATTGTGTTTATCTTTCATTGAACTTGATTATTGTACTGTTATTGGAGCTTTATCTTTAACTTTGAAGGTAGTCTTTATGCACTACTACAAGGATGTGAATATCCATTTTTGTTACTGTGTTAGGGAGCAAGGAAATTACAAGAACCCCACCAATTATTGTGGGTGGAGACGTCCACCTGTTGAGGAGGTTGTTGGACATCAAATTTCAATGCATATCAGCTTTGGAGTTCTGCTTGCTAGACTTTAAGAGAAGATCTCAAAACATAAACACTTATTTTTGAAATGATATCCGAAATTTGTCTTCTTGTTACAGGTGCTGTCAAAATTAACAACTCATTTTGTTAAGGTCCATTCAAGACAGTGTATAGATGAAGCTGAATTAGCTGAACATGTTGTTGGTTTGACTTGCAGCCTTGCCACCTCCCAATTTAGGTACAGTGTGGTCATGTATCAGTGTCTAATTAAATCCCCATTCAAGGTTTGAAATATAGTTGGTACACTATGCACATTGGGAAATACTTGCTGTTTAAGTGATTTAGATGGATAGATGGACTTGTCAAGAGTATGTAGAACCCAGTGTTTAGAATAATACGGCTCATATTATCAAATTTCAGTAGGTTTCTTAACATAACACCTAATGCATTATGTCATGGAATCATCTTTGTATCGAAAGTTATTATTGTGGCTTATTCTCCTTTTTATTTATATATTTTGGAAGTGATGTGCCAATTGGTAAGATGCTCCTTTGTTCTAGGCTAGCTGGAAGCAGGAAAGCCTTTCATATTGTGCAAATGTTCTGTTTGAAGGAATCATCCACACAAGCCAGTTATTTAGTTGTTGCTAACAGTCTTATTATGTGATGTATGACATGTTATTGATTCCTGTGTGGACTCATACTTTGAGAACCACTTCCAATTAGAGGGAAGTTGTTCCTGTTAGCAACTAATGTTATGATTGAGGAAACTCCTTGATGGTAAAAACTATAGGATATGGCTTGAATTATAATACTTATGATATGCGTCAATTTTTGTTTTCAAATTACCATACTATACTTTGTAATTTCCTAAAGGAACAATTGTTTCTTTCCATGTTTCCTTTTCTTTCGGCTTTTGTATCATGCCAATGCAAGAAATTCTTTCGGGGAACCCTAGAGTCTGATAATGTTCAAAAACTAGAGTCTGGTTATTTTAAGTGCTTCCATTAATCTGTTGCGTTTTTAGTTGAGGTATGATCACCAGGTCAATGCCCTTGAATGAAGACACTTGCTGTTGGTCTTATATAAGCCAATCAACCATATTGAAAATAAATTTTCATGCTTATTCATACTGTACTGATGTTTCACTTTTTATCCTTCTTTTTTTCCTTTTAATTGCAGAAAGAAATTAACACGACTATCTGTAAATGCTAATGGATGTCTTATCCCCAAGGACTGTGTTGACAAGAGTTTAGTAAAAAAGAGCTTGTGGTAAGTTATTATGTATGGTAGTATTAGACATCAAGGTCTGGCTCTATTTGCTTTTATGACTATGTTTGTGTAGTTTTCATAAAAAAGAGTATTGCCATACGAACAAACAACCTTACGAAAAAGTTGTGAGTTCATCATCTCTGCCTTTATTGCTGTGCAAGATGACGACATCATCCATTAATTTTAAAGTGCTCTTGTATCTATAGGATTGTTCAGATAGCCTCGTTTTTAGTTACTTTTTCTCTGTGGGATACTCATACTCATGTTCTATGTGGACATGTATATGATATTTCCTAGTTTTCAACTTTACATGATCTTTATACGTTGTTTGAAACTAAGTTTCTGTGTTGTGTAAAGTATTTAGATGTTGAGGTCCTCTGGATGTAGTAAATTGGTTTCCTGCTGCTGAGTGTGATACCTTTTTATATTTTTCAATGTCTATTTCAGTTGCAAGGTTAATCCATAACCTATCAGAATAGTAGTTTTCACCTTCTCCTCCATAAAAATTACTTCTAGTGTTGAAGGCTAATTTATAAGTTCTTCCATAAGGGGAATTGGCTCCCTATATTTATTGATATCAGCTCCCAAGAAACTTTGAAATTCAGTGCTTTAATGAATAGTTAAAAAGAACGAAGATTTGAGTCTATAGTTTGGCCGTTTACACACATCAGGTAAACCTCACGGTGTGAAGTGTTATGGACTATTTAACTAGACAGATTCCTTGCTGAAACTTCTGTTTCAATAGTCAAGGGCATGCCTTTGATACCACATGTGGTTTAAATGACCTTTTCTCTTTCAAACAGGATTGGTATGACCAAATGCTTATGCTTTGCATTTTATTTTTCCTTCTTTTTTTTTTGACGGACTACAAGTGCGAAGATGGGTTGTGAAAGTGAAAAATTTTGTCCAATATTACATCCATGAGACAATAAAGTGTACATAGCGGAGACTATATGAAGAGCTCAAACACATGGACTAATGTCTTAGGGGGTGAATGGCGAGGAATTTTTTTAGCTATTATATCTGGTGTTCACACATCACAGCTCAATTTAACTCAATAAAGTCTTATCCCAACTGTTTGGTCAGCTACATGAATCCTGTTCCCGCATTGTGCTCTATCAAGTAAGAGCCATGTTTGAAGAGTGATGTGCTACCTATCAATGATAAGACGAGGTAACAACAGACCAAAAGTAATTTTGACACAGTACAAAAATAATAGCTTCCAATTTAACGACAAATCACTGGTGCAATGATAGATCTTTTATAAACATGTTCAAACCACTTAAATTGATGCTCTTTTGATAAAATATAATATGTTTACATTAATTTATACTTGATATGTTGGTTAAGAGAAAGAGAGCACTTTTGAATTCCAAATTGCTTCTATGTTTAGCATGTCAATTCTGGATGTGAAATTGGAGTTTGACAAGGAATTTGAAGCAAACTGTTTAGTAAAGAAGTTCAGCCCTTATGCTTCATTTGATTGCTGTGCCTATGAAGTAAATTCCCCACCCACCACATCCTCCCCCTCCTTTTCCAGGAAAGTAAACAAGAAATTGGAATGTGGCTGCTAATAGTTGTACTCGTTCCTTGCAATTTTTCTTTTATAATTTTTTTTTCTCCATATTCTTGATAACCATACGGGAGCTTCATGGAGTGGGATATTTTGTTTGGTGTGCACATTGTAGTTTGTGAATCATATAAATTGTATAGAACGTTTGGCTCTGCCATTGAAACATTTAGTTATAGTGTGTATTTTTAATTTATTACTCTGTATTTTACTTCCAACTTGGACAGTCCAGGTCTGTTTCTTAACCTTATTGACTATACTTGTGAGAGTTTCTGCTCGACTCTCACTCGGTCATTTGATGCTCGTTTATTTTTAAATGGGCCATTGTAGATGTTATTGATTGGGGAAATTGTATTAGCTTTAGCTTTTCTGTCTTGTTCACCTAGTAAAGGATGTCCAACCTGATTATTTTATATAGTCACTTCAGAGTAGAAACAGTTAGTACCTCTTTGGGAAAGTTGAACAGTAGTAATATTGCATTGAGTGATCCTTTTCCATATGCAGTGTCACTTAGGTCATGATTTCGAGATCATTTTAATGCCTGAATTGATACCTATGTGGGTAGTGTGTCTTTATTGCTCCCCTGATTTTGCCTTTTTTGTTCAGGTTAAAAGCATTGGTAGCTATCCCAAAGGTACAACCACGATTTGCTATTGCTATAAGCAGGAAATACCCCACAATGAAATCTCTATTGAATGTTTACATGGATCCAAGTAAATCAGTGAGTATTGATAAAATTGCCAGTCTTTTGTTTATATAGTAAATATGCTTGTGTATTCATGACAGATGTCAAAGTTTGCCCTCTTATGGTAGTGATCCTATCTTTAGCATTTTTTGATAGGAAGCATAACAATTTTATTGATTTAAAATAATAAAAATTGATACATTCAAAAGCACTATGTATGGACAAAATGTCCAACCGTGAAATGAAAAATACAATTCTTAAATCGTAAAATTATGTATCGCACGAGGCCTTCCAATCCATCAAAATACAAAAAAGCAGTATGCCATCAAACTGCTTCGTAACAGACGCCCACATTGATGCCAACAAATATATGCGATCCATAAATCTTCCTTCCAGTCTCCTATTTTCAAAAATTTCAAAGTTCCTTTCCAACCATCTTACCAATACGATGTCGAGAAAACCACAATGCTGTAAAGTTATCGCTCTTTTATGCCGCCCCAACCCTTTAAATTCCTCCTTCAGCGACTAGCTTTGCTGAAAATGTTCAAGAATCACCTAGGACAGACCAACTACTTTAAAAAGTTTGGACCATAAGAACAAAACGATAGGGCAATGCAAAAACAAATAATCAATAGTCTCCCTTGCACCTGCACACATGACACCACTTGGAGAAATGCAAAGAAACGGTCTTTTTCTTCGAAGCACATATTTTATATTTATCCTACCATGAGCTACAGTACATGCACAAACTTGCACCTTGATAGACACCTTAGTTTTTCAAATCATTACAGAGGGATAAAACACGGAGTGTGAAGGATTATCAACTAGTTTGTCAAAAAATGACTTACACGAGAACAATCCCAAAGACTCAAGAAACCACTTTCTTTTATCAGTTTACTCATGACAGTTTGCTAGGAAATTCTCTAAGGCTTAGGAATTAGAAATTGATTATTCTCTAAAATAGCGAAATAGTAGTCATTTTAAAACCTTGTAGGGTTGTGGGGAAGCAGACCTTTTTGCTTAAAGGTGATGGTTGGCTCTCTCAGGGGTTCCAATTATGGGAAATAAGAATGAGCTTTGGCCTTTTGCATTTTTTTTTTTTTGGGGGGTGGGGGGTGTTAAAAAGAACATTGCTTATGTTCTTCTTAAAGTTGGTTTGAGAGGGTAGACCAGTTTTACTTGAAAGTGAGTTGTGGAATTAGGACAACACTTGACTTGAAATTTTGCACCTACTAGGAAAACTTTTGGGAATCTTTCCAAAGTTGATTGTGGAACATTGGAGAAATCTAGTAAGACATGCTTCCCCTATTATCCTATACCCCTATATATTCTTATTAATGATTATATATAGCTTTTGAGAGGAGAAGTCTTTGATTATTATTTAAGTTTTTACACTTAGTTTATTGTTCTACTTTTCTAATCTTTCCTATACGTTATATCTAAGTTACCTAGTATGTTTTCTTCTAAATTTTCATTTGATTCCATAATTTTCGGTTGATTTTTCGTATTAATTTTGTTGCCAACCTCACCATTGACTTCCTGGTATGAGTATCCATGTTATTTTTTAACTACATTTCTTTATTTTGTTGAAATTTATTGTGCTTATGGGCATACCCAGTTTGATTGGAATGGGCTTGATGGATAAACTTATGACAAGAAATGAGGTTTATTGATTTCTTTTAGCAGATGTGCTTTTTCTCGCTCAGTATTGGAAAATTTGAAGATACAAAAGAAAAAAATTTGCAAAATAAAAAGGTGGAGATCAATGGAAGAAATTTGAAGCTTTAAACAACAATTCACAATCCTTTTTTGCGTCACCAAACCATTTTCAATTCTCAAACAACAGAAGACCCCTCCTCCTGATCCAAAAAAATATCCAACCAGGGGTTAGAGGCTGGTGTTCCGAGTTTGCATGAGTTGTAATGAAGGGAATATACATAAAGACTTATCCCAACCTCACCGTAGCATTGACCACATGGACCCAGGGCCATGGGCCATTTGGCCCATTTGAGCAAAATACTAAGGTCTTGTTTGGTTTGTATCTCATAAATTGTTTTCTGTTTTCCGAAATAGTTTCTGGGACAAAACTGTTTGGCCAGGTATTTTTGTTTGTTTTTTGAAAACCGAGAACAAAAATTAGGTAAATTTAAAGAACAAGTTAGAGTTGTTGTGTGTTTTAGACAAAGATCAAAATATCGTTTCGAAACACCCGAAACGTTTTCGTTTCCAAGGAGACCGAAACGAATCAGTGATGAAATCGAAATTCTAATACATCGAGGTGTTTCATAATGTTTAGAAATATTTTGTTACATTTTAATACATTCGCACAATTATTTCGGAATGTTTCAATGTATTTCAAGATATTTTGGTATAATTTGACCAATGTTTTTGAAAAAATAATTTTTAAATTTTTTATTTTTTTTATTATATTTTCGAAAAGGGTAGAAACATTTTCAAAACACGTTGAAATGTTTTCGTTTCTAGGTGACTGAAACAATACACCGAAACGAAATTTTGATCATTTGTTTTAGAAAACAATATTTTCAGAATTTAGAAAACACCACCATCATACCACCACCACCACGACGTTCACCACACTTCCACCACACTCCTGCCACCACCCTTCCACAAATATTGCCACCGCCACACTCCCACCACCACCACCACCACACTTCACTACTATCACATTTTTGTTTTCATTATTTTTTGGGTTATTATCCAAATAAGTTTATTGTTTTGTATCCCGTGAAACTAATTTTGGAGCATATAACCAAACAAGTTTTGCAACACAAAAAACAGATTTCCAAAACTCTTAAAAGCATTTTTCGAATGCTATTTTTTAAAACGCAAACCAAAAGGAGTCTTATTTTTCCCTAATATTGCTTGAAATTTCCTTTTTAATAGTTAGGCTTTTATATTTTCACGTGGTTCAACGAATTTCATACTCACTTGTTGGATCTTTGGGGTTCAAGATAATAGCCCTTAGAGTTTATCTTTTCCTCAGCCTGTTGATCATAACCATGGATCATTGAATTGGCTTTCATTAATAGGAAAACTCTATTGGTTCTCGGACTGTAAATTCCAACTTATATAGTAGAAGCCTGATACTATTGATGAATTGGTAGTTGTGGATTGTAAAATACCTATTATTGAAACTAAATTATGGTCATTGTTTTTTCTGCCCAAGTCTAGCTTGAATTTCCCATGGTGTGGACCATCTTGGTCCTCTAACTTATGAGAATGCCATGGCTGTCCAAGTGTTTTGCAGACCATAATGCCCCTACTTGCTCATGTATTATGATATTGCAGTTTGATACAATTCTTGGCTTAGCACTTCCAAGTACTATTTCTACCAAAGAAATAATATTTATAGTATTGTAAAAAATCTGAGAATGATGGCTGGCAGGCCAAGGTGACTATGATTTATCACTTAGGCAACATGGTTCAAGGTTGTTGTATCAGTCATCTACTCAGAAGGCACTGAGACACATTGATCCTGGCATCCAGAAACAGTATTATAGCAGTACGTATGAGATGACTTGACAGATAGAAAGGAAATCAGACATGATGAGATATTCAACCTTTTTGTGGCATCGTGAAATAGTATCGGATGGTACACTGTGAGCTAATGATGATGACTTGCTGAGTTGATTGAGACTTCGTCAACCATGAGTCAAGTGAAACTCGTGACTTACACAGAACATGGAACAATATCTGAACAGTCGGCCGATTCTTTGAGCCATTTTTGTTGCGCCCTTTTCCACATGGCCGACTTGGGTAGTGATATTTAATTGTGATATTTAGAAATATTATAGTAAGGGACTGAAAATCTTGGGATCAAAAGGTTGTTCTAAACGACTATAAATCCGTAATATAAACAAAACTATTGTGTTTTCTTTATAAATCAAATTCATAGTAGCGGAACTGGAAAAATTGAATCAGTTACATTGCCAGCTCAATCTTCAGATGAAGTTTTATAGCATGCGTCGTGGTGAATGGTATAAGTTTTTAACACTCGGGAGATATAATATTTGCAACATATTTCTTAAATTCTCTCGTATAAATTTTGTTGTTACCATTTGTAAAGTTACAAAAGAATTCAGTTTCACAATTTCATTTTCTCCATTTGAGAGAACTTAGTAGTTCCGTGATATGTTTGAGCCCTAGATTTGTATCTTCATAGTTTTCTGAAGCTTTTGTAAACTTAGATATCAACATGATTCTCCAGAAATTACTGTATGTTTGTACCCAAGGAGTGGCAAATCCACACTGCTGACAATTGAAATGCTATGTGCTGTCGGCTACAGTACTTTTCTACCATGGATCTATTAAGACCATCAATTTATTTCTTTTTTCAAACTTCCATATGTTCAGCAGTAAAAAGATCACCTTCTGCATTTCCTTTCTTTGGTTGTCTTCTTGCTTATTGAGGGGAGCACTAATGAAATCTTGATCTAACTTGGACATTTTATATAAAATGATAGGTGCATGAGAAGGAATTTCTGCTCAAGGACTTGACAACAGAAGGGTTACTTGGAGAGGATAGAAGATTAGGTGAGGTTTGTTCCAAGAGAGTGTACAGAATATTAATGGCTCAATGTGGAAGCATCAAAACTGATGATGTTGAGGAAGGAGCTGATTTCTTCAGCCGATCAATCTGACTGAATAAACTCTTCAGTGTAATTATTGGGAATTGCCTCCAAGTGGATATAAAAGAGGTGTGTATGTGCTATGCTCACAATTGAGCTCATTGTTTATGGTGGTTCACTATGGGATAATGTTTGGAGATAATAGTTTCTGGAACCCACTCTCTTGAGTTGCTTTGTAACTGTGACCTATTCTATACATCTCGATGGATTTGACTGAATACAAGTGTTTATTCACCCTAGCACCGCATTATTGTTCGAGTTCAGGAATCAACCTCTCATAAATATGGTAATGTTGTTGAGTAATTACTTCTCCAGAGTCTGCTATAGATGAGAGCCTATAACCAGGGTATGACTAACAATTTTGAGTAATGGTGTTTATGAGTAGTGCCTCTGCAGACTTAGATGCATTGCAGATGTAGTCATAAACCAAGTGGAAGCAATCAGCTGAGCTGCACATGTTAGAGCTTTGCATAATAGTTTTTCTTTTCTTTTTTCTCTGCCTTTTTTTCTGAAGAAAAAAAAATTTGCTGGTGGCTGCTGAGTTGGATGCCTACTGCTTGTGATTTAGTTTCAGTTGTCACAGACAGCATAAAATGCAATGCAGTCCCATCAATTTGTACTACTAAAACAACAGCCAACCATTTAATTGATATTTCCTGTGCTTAATGGGCTGTGGCTCCGGCATGAGGTTATGGACACTCTCTCTCTCTCTCTCTCTCTCTCTACCATGACCTTCTAGAAACAACAAAATGTTTATCTTTGTATCAGGTTTTGATTCAAATGATGAATAAATGGAGAAAAAGGGGGATCTAAAATAATGTAGTTAGGACTAGGCACAAATTCTAGATAATCTATTATATTTTAGTGCGTTTCTAATTAATAGATACTATTTAATCTAGCATTGATATAATTAAGAGGATAATCAAAAAAGTATTAGGGTGAATGCTAATTTTATTAATCATATCTCTTATGCTTGATTTTTTCTTTCTACATTTTTGTTCATGTACAAGTGTGCTTGGGTGTTCTATCTGCCCTTGAAGGATAATACAAAAGATAGGTTTCTCTTCTGTTTTTTATTCTTCCTGGTTTCTTGTTACTTCCACACACCCACAAAAAGGAAGAAAAGGAGATATAAAAAGAGGAAAAATTACACTTTGATCCTTTTTCAAGTATGACTTTGGTTTTACTTTGCCCCCTCAATTATTGAATTTCTCAATTTGTCCCTCAACTCTATGAATTCATTTCACAATGTCTCAAAATCAATGGTCTGTCATGCTTTGGAGAGAAAACGGTTACATCTATACAAAAAACTCATTTTCAATGTCTAAAATTATGATAATATAAAACTAATAATCATAGTTGGAAGTGCAATATTAGAAATATGATAATTGCAAGGGGTATTGTGAGACCAATAAATATAATTGGAGATGCAACATAAAAAATGTAATATTTAAGGGACTAAAATCAGATAGAGGCATAATTGAGAAGCAAATTGTAATTTAAGGAAGTTGCTGGGCATATGTATATGTTCTAGCACTAAAGCTAGAGGTTTTGAACGTTTTATTTTATTTTATTTTATTTTTTTTGAACCGAGAGATTTAGGAGACAAAATAGGCCCACCACAATTTAATGGAGAAAACACTGTAGCATCTTCATTGCCTTTGCATAACGTGGAGCTACCACTTGCACATTGTTTGCTATTCATATATCCAATTGGACTCCACCACTTGAAAAACTTAACTCTGATGAGTCCCACTATTTAGGCCTTAACTCTAGTGGGCTCCAGCAGGACCACCACCATCCATCGACCAGTCATGGCATTATATCATCCCACCAACTGGTTCAACTCTATATCATTTCCTTCCAACAAAAAAAAAAAAAAAAAACTATCACAGTCCCATGACTCTTCATCCCATGTTTTTGAAGAGAAAAAAAAAAAACTAGATCACCAGTGCCAACACTACCATGCTACAGTGTAGATATTTTGCTAGATGCCTTGTTTTTTTTCCCTTACTTTACTGTCATATTTTTCTTTTAATTTTTTAGCGGGACAAATGGTATCTACTCCATATCAAGATCCCCTTAATTTTAAATTTTCCCTTTTTTTTTTGCCCTAGTATGATTAATCCCACCGTAAATGGTTGAAGTCATGGACCCCATGAATAGGACCTAATGATTCAAATTGGAAAAATCATCTTCCAATTTGGAGGATCAAATTCATGGACAACACGATATACTTTGTTAGTTCATATCCTGTTGT